ATTCTTGAAAGGTAAAAACAATGGAACATAAAGTTAGAAGTAAGATCCATGTTTTGTACCATGCTTGTGTTAGTTACTGAAATAATTAAAAAGAACCCAACCAGCAGTTTAACTCATCTTGATATTTCTCTAGTGTTGACATTAAAAATAGGTTCATCCCTACTGTGTCTTAGAAAAAAATCAGCATTCTTTAGATTTTTAAATTGTGGTATAGTCTAAAATGTATTGGTAATTATTTGTTTGGAAGTCATTTTGGGGAAGGTACTGTATGGAATGGCGGTATTTTGTCTGTGGAAAAAGAGTCTCTGTTTACCTCCAAGTTTAAATTTAAGTTCTGAATAATGATGTAAACCTTAAGAATAAGTCTTCTGTACAATCTGCCCTGTGTCTAGGAAAATCTGGCTTTTGCATTTATCAGGTTTAAACTTGCAAGTTTAAAGGTTAACTTTTCAGTTAAGTCCCTCTTACAGTTGTGTGCCCTGATTCTGTAAAGCATGGACTAGGTTCATTCCGAACGGTTGTGCCAGGAAGTCATGATTGGATTTTCCAGTCCTTGAGAAATTTCTCCTTAGAAACATAGCTGTTCTCTATGCCCAGCACTAAGCAGGGCACTCTTCAGAAGACCTTCCAGGAACAGTATTCCTGCTGTAATGAACAAAGATGTTTACTTTAGATATGACTAGGATAAAAAATGGGAATGTAAGAAGCTGGAAAGAGATGAACACAGGGCTCACAGGATTTCTAGGTGCACTGCATTTGTGTGTGAAGTGCATGTGCCTGCTCTTGGCTCAGTGAAAGGGCTTCAAAATGCCACTCTCCTTCTGGAAGGATTTGCCCTTCTGCCTGGAAAGGTGGTTTGAATATCCATGTGTTCTTGCACCAACACAGTGCCCATGAGAATGGAAGTGAAGCAGGACTACAAGTCTGAAAACCTGGAACTGTGGCAAGCCAAGTGCTGGTTTTGACCTTCTTACTGTGTGCCCATCTTTTAAATAAAGGAAAATAAGGCAGTGTGTTCCCTTTTAATCTAATCCTCAGAGCCGTCCTAGGCAGCAGATTGTACCATGTCAGCTGCAAGTGTCGGCTGCCTTCTCCTTAGAGAGCCACAGCAGCACTTGGGTGTATCAAATGTTATTGCTATGAATGTGACACATTGTGTTCCTGAAAATAAGAGTGGAGTCATCCCCACTTGTTCAAAGCACCCTTATCTGTCTCTGCATTTATTCTCTCCTCCATGGTACAGTAACGCCTGCAGAATTTCCAGTGTATGTATCAAGTTACAGATTAGTGTGGGCCCCTGTGGTTCTTGGAACAGCATGGGGCTGTTTTTGTTTACTGATGACATTTATCCTCTCATTTCCTTTTGGAAGCATGACAGCTTCTCACTGTCTGATGGGGAATGTACTTACAGGACCTTCTTTTCATGCCACGTCTGATGATAAACACTCCACTGCAGAGTATCCATGTCTGCTTGCTGTGGAGCCGCTGTCGGTGCTTCCAGCAGCCAGACTGGCAGGAGCTTGGCTGGGCAGGAAAACAAAAGGGTTTCTAAGTGCAATTATCTTCTCTTGCAGGAGGAGACCGAGAGCGGATGACAGCTAATCATGAGACGTACCTCCTTATGGCGAGCACGCAGAATGACATGGAGGATTGGGTGAAATCCATCCGCAGGGTTATATGGGCACCCTTTGGAGGAGGTGAGTCAGGGAGGGAACATGCAGGGCTCCCAGATGCACAAAAGACACATAAGGGTTCTTCTGTTGTCTCCCAGTCACAGCCAGAGTTCTGAAGTGGAGAATGGTCTAGATCTTTCCGGAAAAGTGGAGTAAATAAACCCTTTTGTTTTCATTTGCAATGCAGGTATTGGGCATGTTTCCATGCAGAGGGCTCAGTTGAAAGGCTTTAAACTGTCTGGAAGCACTTCCCTTGATGAGGATAGCACACGATAGTGTGAGGAGAAGTTTTCACAGAAGATTGGTCTTCTGTGAAATCAGCTTTCCTGCAGGGAGAGAAAGGGTAATTCCTTTGATCACCAGCTGAAAGACCATCCATGTGTTTCATAAATGCCTGTTATGAGAAGCTGTCAGCGATTCTCCTGCCAGTGACAGCTAAGACCAGTAATAGTATTATATAAAGCTATGCCTCAGAATATTAGCACTAGCAGTACAGGATTTTGATTGGCATGTCCAGTAATTTCAATAGTACTGGATGAAAATGTATTGTTGGAAGTCTACTTGTCTTTTTAAAAAGCTCTCTTATGTTGAATGGGCTGCAAATTATTATAATAATTTCATTATTATTCTGGTGATAGTGTCTCTGTTACTGTAATACAAATATGATTGGTACACTTGCACAAAATGTCTATACGTTAATCAGTCTGTTCCTTGGAGCTCTCAAATCTCTTAAGTCTAGGGACAGAAATATTTTCCTACTGTGAAAGAGCACCCGGTATTGCATCAAACAATTGGTCTTGTCTGTAGGTTGCTGGAGAAATCAGGAAGGCAGGATGGTCTGTGCTGTTTCATGACTGAGAAGTGCAGTTAGCACTGAAAACTGTGATTTCTGACTGCAAATGTCTTTTTCTCAACTGCCAGGTAGACCCCACAGGAGGGAGGAGGGAGAGACTGAAGGAAACTACCATTTTAAAGAAAACTTTTCTTCTAAGCCGCCCATCTTCCTTTGTGCTTTATTCAGGTCACAGTTTTTAGGAGAGGATTTCAGCCTCGCTTATGGACTCGACCGCGCTGAGGGACTTGGTCAGCTAGGGCCTGCCTGGCATCTCTGAAACATCTCTTTTCTTTGGCTCCTCCTGGGAAAATGTGCCCTGGGAGGGTGGTACGAAGCAGTAGTCTCACTGGGATCTGGCTCCATGTGTTAAATAAGTGGGCATAGTCCTGAGTCTGGGCATGTAGGTCTTATAAGAGGATGCTTAAAAAAACCCCAACCAACCCAAACAAACCCCAAAACCCACAAAGTGAAAAGTTTGTCTTAAAAGGCGTGATCTGCTACAGGCATATTGAGTTGGTTTGGGAGAGGGAAGGTGCAAGGAGCACAGTCTTCTTGTAATTAGGCTAGGTAAGAAATCTGCTATTTTAATTAGCACAAAGATTACCCATACCCAGCTTTCTCTTTGCGAAGCAGGCCTCGTGTTGAGCTCCTCAATATTCTCCTACTCCAGTGAGGTAGCAGCACAAGCTGCTGTGGCAATGATAAATTTGGGGACTTAACAGAACTGGATTTTTCAGAGTGTCTTCGTGGTTTTTTGAACTTGGCTTCCAACACCACAATATCTTTCTGTGGCAGATAATAAGGAAAGGCAGCCTTGCTGTTCTGCAAGTGGTGAAGTCTCTACGTGTTAGAGGCAGGGAGCTGAGATTAGGTGAAACTCCGTTTCTAGCCCAAGTCCATGCACAGAGCTACAAATAGAAACCAAATCTCCCAAGTCCTGACCCTGTGCTTTCTTCACCAGCTCCTCATTTCTTTTATAGGGCAAGAGCTATTTCTGATTTACAGCTGGGAATCCTTTCAGCCACTATGAAAATTCTCAGGACACTGTCATTGTTCTAGGCACATTAAATGCCAATTGCTGAAGGAGGCACCTCTCTGGAGACTTTGCATGCTGATTTGCATAAAACAAAGCAGGAGCGATCCTTGCATCACTGTTTCAATTCCTTTGTAGTTAAAACACTTGGAAGCGTGTTCTTCTTGTTTTTGCTATTGGATTTCTTGTGCAAATACTCTGACTCAGGGTTGTTTGTAATGGGAAGGAAACAGTTAATTCCGTGGAAAACGTGAGAAGGCTTGGCTGTAATAATAAGGCAAAAGCAGTATCATGGGGTTTGTAACCATTAAGAACCCTGTTTTTAACATGTCCCCCATTTTATTAACTACTTTATTCGATAGTCTGAGCCATCTTCACAAGTGTAAATAAGCTTTGTTAACTGTTCTGTAATTATGAATGTTGAGACACTTATATTTTTATTATCCTTTGCTACAAGGATGTTTCTACAGCTGCTGCAACAGTCTGACCCTTCTAAAGACAGGCACTTCTGGCTTGTCTTAAGAGCCTGCTTTTATGAGCTGTAGCCGCTGAAGTTAAAAATGGTTTTATATGTTACAAATACTATAAACAAGATAGAGAAAAATTGCAGTCACATGATGGAGACTATCCAGTAACAAATTTACAAGACAAAATTATTTCAAACAGCTAATTAATCAGAACACTAGTTTTATAACAGCTTCCTAAATTTCAGTACTAGATGGTAAACCACAATAGTCCAGTGTCACACAAGTCAAGTGCCACTTTTTGAGTAACATGTGAATTTATTTTCTGGTTTTCTTAAGCATTGTAAGCAAGCTCTGTGTGGGTGTGCGAGCACACATGTTACGGATGTGTTTGAATCTTGGTGAGCCACTAATATTTAAAGTTTGTCTGGCAGTGTGAGAGGACTCCTGGTGCCAGAGCAAGGAGCTTTGTAAATGATTAACCATATCATTAAATTGTTATTTGTTAACCTGTGCTAGAAAGAGCAGGCAGGAGGGGGGCAGGTGGGACTCTGCGAAGGTGATCAGAAACAGCTTGTTTTTTGCACCAAAAGAATAAGGTGACTGTGGAGAAAAATCTGAAAGGGAAAAGAAATGTAAATGAGGCAGGGCATGCAATGCCTGTTTGCACATGAAATTCCCTTCCTGATTAGATTTAAAAGGCAGTTTTTTTACAGAGCCTGCAACTAAGGGGGAGGGAGAAGAAGGAGCATGAGCGTTTTAGCAGGGCTGGTGGTGTAAGGTCTGGCACCTCCTGCAGGAGCCAGGCACAGCCCGCTCGGTTTTCCAGCAGCCGCACATGACAGCCGCCTGAAGTCAACTCAAAGTCACCCGGAGGAGCAGCCAAACCTGCGCTGCGGCGGCTCCCGCGCCTCCTTCCCCCGCACCTGCTGCACGCACACGGCAGCGGCGGCGGCCGGGCTGCCATCGCCTGGCCGGGGGCCGGAGGGAGCCAGCCAACACCGCATCCCCGTCCGGAGGCACGTATTCCTCAGCAGCTCCCCGGGATCCTGCCGGCGAAGATGCGCTGCTGCCGCATCTGACGCGCCTCTCCCGTGAGAGCTCCTGGGAGTTCGAAGGCAATAAAACGAGCGAGAAGCCCACGAGAGCATCACACGAGGAGCTGGGTGTATAAAAGGTCTTTCGAAAGGAATCTCTTACGGACAAAGAGCTTTTCGGGCGAAGGGGCTGTTATTTTTGCTTCTTGGTTGCAGAAATAGAGGGTGCCAGCCAGGAGTGTCGTATCCTGGAGGATTCTTCAGTGGCCTTTTTGGTATTGTTCTTCTCTTTCCCCTTGAACACCGCGAAGTGCTGACCTTATCCTGTGGAATAGAGACTCTGCCGCTCAGCCCCCAGTTCCAGCTGGGAGAAAGAGGTCTTTCTCCCCCTCCGTCTGTTCAGGCACTTCTGTTTGAATGGAAGATACATCTTTTTGCTGAAACTCTTTTGTTGTGACATTGCATAATAGGCAGTTGTCTCACCGCAGGAAATAAAAGAAACGAAAGGAAATAGATGGAAGGAAATTGTTCCCCAAAGCAAAATTGAAGCAGGGAAGAGAACATTAAAATCATTTCGAGCCCTACCCAAGATCTAGAAGACCACAAATCTGCTAGCTCCAGAGGAAAATACACTATTATAAGAACTCCTCAGCAGTCAGTAACGATGAGCAGTCGTGGTGTTTCGTCTGGATGCAGCTGGTAAAGGAGAGCTTTGGAGGGACGTGGGGGCTTGGCCTGTATGATGCCTGAAGACAGAAATGCTGGAGTCCGCAGCCCAGGTGCCTTAGCAGCAGCTCCTTTCATTCCTAAAACTACTTATAGGAGAATTAAGCGGTGTTTTAGTTTCCGTAAAGGTAGGTCCGTTCTGTCACTGCGTTCTGCTTTGCTAGTGAAGCCGTGGTTTCTTACAAGTCAAAAGGGGGATGTGTGTGCAGGGGCAGATGAGAGTACCGAAACAAAAGACATTAAACAATGCAGATGCCAACATTCCACGAATGATTTATTTACTTCTTTGTTCGTTTGTTTGTAGCTGGCCAGCTGATACTGTCTCCTCTACATAATAGCCTATGAATGCTGGAATGAGGTGGTTTGAGACAAGATTATTGCAGTGCCTCTGAGCAAAATTAAGTGAGAGCTCTGGGGGAATTAGACCTGTGATGCTCCGAGTTGCCTGTTTGTCTTGGCAGAACATCAGGAAAAAGAGTTTCTGCTTGCATTTTATTTGTGTGGTAGGAGGGGGGTAGAAGAGAAGGGACCAAAGCAACGTGATAAATGTTCCTCTGTGCAGAAGACCGAGTCCTTGGTCTCAGAGATTTCTGATGGATTGAAGTGTAGCCCTACAGTGCACTGTCCTGTTGCAAGTGATGCACTGTCACTTCATCATGCTGCCCTGCAGCCTCCATTTGCCTTTTCACCTGCTGCATGGAGGTGTTTAAAGCCAGTTTTCTTCTGCAGTGCACATACTCCTGTTGAAGCAGACCATGGCAGTACTCAGGGAAGGAGGGCAAAGCGGAGGCTGGATTCTGTAATATGTCAGCTGGAAGCACTGGAAGGGAAACACATGTCTAAGAAAGAGATATGACAAGTGGTGGTAAGGTGCCACAGCACCTGAGATGGGTGGGCAGAAACTGTCTCTGTGACAAGGACAGAAACTTTGTGTAGGGGAAGAGGAGGACATTGGTGTTGTCTTAGAAGCTATGCTGAACTGAGAAATACCAGTGAAAGGGCTAAGCTGTCATGTTGTTTTGAAGCGTGAGAGATTATTTTGTACAGAGCTTGCACATATTCTGTCATCTTCTCTTGCTCCTTTCTCAACTGTTCCTTCATGCTGCCATTTGCCCTTTTGCAAGACCGTGCAGCTCTTTGCTCACCAGCCTCAGTAGTGATGTGGTGACGTCATTGCCTTTGAGGGATGTGTGAGCAGGCAGTCAGGGGCGATGTCTTGAAACGAGATATCACAACCAGTGAGGGGCTCACTGCAGAACTGCAGCTGAGACAGCACTGAAAGCTGTTTGCCCCCTGTGCCCCCCTCCCCAAGGCCCTTGATTGCTGGAGTTCCCGTCCTGCTGGAGGCTGGCCAGGAGGATGTGCATGTGTATTGCATTTCAAGGTGTTGGTGTGAATTAGAGCTGCCTGTGCCCAGTTCATACGCTTAACTATTTGAGAAATGTTTGGAAGTCGAATAAAGGATTAACTGATAATTTTGCAGACAGCTGCCTTTGTGCCTAGCTACAGCCTTAGCTGCTCCAAGAAGAGCTTCAGCTGTTGATTCTTTCTCCGTATGTTCTGACACGGAAGCTGTCCGTGTCTAAAACTCCAAGTGAAGCGGCAGCGCTGGGGGCAGAGACAGAATGATGGAGGTGATGCTGCTGATTTGCTTTCCTCTCTGTGTCATATGTTTCAGTTGCTTTCTTATACACATTTCTGTCAAGATTGTTGTCTTAAGGCCCCTTGGTCAGACCTGCAGAATGCTGGGGGCATATGTCCTTGTTTCACTATGTCCTTGTCCTGCCAAAGTCAACAGAAAGATGAACATTAACTGGATTTTCATTAAGGTTGCACAGACAAATTAGGATACCTACCCGTGTCTTATTAATTGGCATACAGAATTACTATAACTTCATTTGCAAATTGTGTACTTAAGTATAAAAAAAAGGCAAAACTAGCCTTCTACAAACCTAGTCTATACTTTCATAAAGCAGATTAGTTAGTTCTAAGCTATGCAACATGATGCAGAAAATAAAATTACCAGGGAAAATCATTGGCTAGTCACTGTAAGGGGAAGGGAATCATGACAGTTTTTGTTCAGACAGAGATATGTCATGATCTTCACCAATGAGACCAGGTGTAGAACCCTTCCTGGAAATCCAGATCAAATTTCCATTGTGATTGGCACCAGAAAATTAAATGTCAGATTTGTTTGGAGGTCACATCGTAGAAGTCAGTGCTCAGAGGGCAGCATCTGAACAGAGACATCTTTAAACTCCAGTGTGGAAAAGATGCTCTCTGGTTAAGTTCCACCACAGGAACCTCTGGAGAGACCATGCAGGATAAGTGGAGAAAGCAGTATCTGAGGGTGGCATGCAGTGGTGAGAACACTCATTGGAATGGTGAATTTGCATGGGCAGAGTTTTGGAGGAGGAGGTGGCATTGGCTTTGGCTGGAGAAATAGTGCCTGATGTGATCAACTGTGATAAGTTCCCAGGGAAGTTTTTAAAATTGCCTTCTTTTCTTTCCTGTATCTAGTTCTACTTTTATTTCAGAGTTGTTTTTCCTAAGCAGGTTATTTGAGTGTGCAAATATTTTAAACTCCAGGGCAGAAATTTGTCTTGTCTTCTCTACTGCTGGCATCACACTGACTGTGGGGTAGGAGAAGGCTTGAAGGAAGGAAAATTATTCAGGCAGGAACAAAATTCTGCTGCCACTGGTTTTGGTGAGATTTTTTCCTCCCCTCTACATTACAAAATTTTGTAGAGAAGAAGAAAATACTCCCTGCGTTTGATCCACTCAAAACAGCACTTACTGCTGGGGAACATCTGAGCAGAAAGCTGATAGAAAATAATAATTTAAAACTCCATATTAGGTGTTATGTGCCCACGACAGCCACTTCTTTGTGTTATTCCAGGACCTTTGTTCGCAACCCTGCTGTTGAAAGCCATTCATCTGATCTGTTATTTTCACTGTCAGTGAATTACTGATTGAGATTGAGAGCTGCTTAAAATTCTCATCCAGATCCTAAGCTGAGATCAGTTCCTTTGACCTTAACTGGCCCTTTCTGATCAGTATAGCCCATAAAATCAGAACTTATCTTGAAAGGACAGGGATCCTTTGCTGCACATTGGGAGAACACACGTACAGGTGTGGGCCTTCTGTGAAAGCATCAGCCCTCAGTGCTTTTTTCTCCCTGAAATCTTCTGGCTCACCAAGTACTTGTGCTGTGGTGGAGCCAGAGCGGCAGGTGGGCTTTTTTGAGATATTCTTTATTTCGGGCTGTTCTTTAGGGAGCAAGGTGGCAGAACAACCACCTTGATCTTCTCCTTTTTTCTTCCTGAATCAGAAGCCCAGAGACTTGAGATGTGAGCCCTGCCTGTGTTCAGTTAGCTAAGGAAATCATTGACTAGTAGCATGCTTAGGTTTTAAAACCATACTCTAAGTGTGAATATGTACCATAAAAAATACCACAGTGCTTCCACAACTTCTGAGTAGACATGTGCAGAATTTGCATATAGCACTGGAAATAGTCTTTCGTAGTGTTCCTGGGTATCTGTTAAGCATGGAAATCCAGTTGCTCATAATGTTTACAAAACTTCTGCCACGGGAATGTTCTAGTTAATGAATAACTGCTCAGCATGCCCTTTGCTAGCATGTGATTTTCCTCTTTGATGTTATGCGTGATCTTCACTTAATTGGATATAGCTTTAAAGACCTACAACTGCTCTCTGAGAAAGCAGTTCTGCTGATTAAATCTAATGACTGGTCAGAACTGGAATCCTGTACATTTTCCAGCCTTCCACCAGCTATGGGGAAGCGAAGCTGCTGCTATGCTGAATCTCATGGTTTCTTGTTGATTTATTTGTTTCCCCTCTGGCACCCTGTCCCAAGGATAAACCAAATGACAGGTCAGCTCTTGTGCATCTGTGCATTCTGGATTTTGGAGACACTGAGAGTTAGGAAGAGAACTTGGGTTTGGATTACAACATGAGTTATGAGGGCTCTCTTTTTATTTCCTTCTCCACAGAGATGTTCTTGTTTAGTGAAAATTTACTTTTAAAAACCAGCATTATCAGTATACATTTTTAAAAAACAGAAATTATCTCTGTGATTTTGGTTAAGTTGTAGTCTCCATAACTTGGACTGTCTTTTCCTAAATGAGGTGCTAGTAGTTACCAGTTACAGCTGATAGTGATCATCGTTGTCTCTGCCAACCTCTAAGGTAACTGTACGTTTTTGCAACCACAATTCTTCACAGCATTGCCTTTGCTTCCTAATGGTCAGCATCTGAATTTTCATAAAATGCTCATCTGCAATATGTCAGTAGTAGTTATTTGTGACATAAGAGGGGATAAAAGCATTAGAAAGGGACAGTGGAAGAAGGTGCATTTTACAGGGCAATGATCGTGGCTTTTATTCTAAAGCAAAACCCAACAGGTGCTAAAAAGATGATGAGCAAGGTAAAAGCTCTGACAGCATGATGTGGAAGAAGAGTTCTTGTGTTTCTGCCACTTCTACCCCTGGCAACAGAGTACCTTTGCCATAAGGCATCAGCAAGTCTGTAACTTCAAGTCAATATTTGTGCAGGCTTATCATGACTGATTTCTTTCCTGGCCAAGTGCTGCCTGGTGCAGTGTTCTGCATTTGTTAGGTGGAGGAAATACTTCCTTTGGAGGAGTTCAGTCTATACTTTGGCACAAACTCAGACCTTCCTAAGATAAATTCCAGTGCCAAACAAATCGGAGAATGAAGAGAGTAGTAAATGGTGACTTCAAGGTGTCACGTGGTGATTTTTCATGAGACTAAGGTCTTAACTTTAGGTTATTGCATGGTTGTCAGAGTTACCACGTTAGCTATGAGCTTCCCAAAGCTGAGTGTGGAGATCCTCGTGCCTGTGAGGTAAATATGGTATTATCAACATTCATACAGATGGGAAGCCAAGTCCCTGAGGCTTTCTCTGCCATGTGAAGATATGGGGCATACACCTACTCCTCCAGCTGGGAAAGTATATCTGTGGCCAGACTTGATGCAACTGTTCTGAGGATTGTGTAGGATCTGAATCAAATCTGTTAAATCTGAGACAACTGCTGTAGTTACTCTGTCTCTCCCTCAGGCATTCCTAGCTATGTGTATTTTAAGTGTCTCAGTGAAAATTGCTTCATTTACAACTTCCCTTATTGTAGACAATAATAGAAACAATTCAGTGTCTACACTTAGGGGACCAGAACCAGGAAATTTTAGGCTCTGATTTGGACTTACTTTTTTTCCCTCTCTATCACATCAGGTTTTATTTTTCCTCAGATATAGGTTTTATTAAGGTTTTCTTCCTACAACATGTGTAATTTTCTGCTACAATGCAGAACCAAGTTTGTCATATCGATGTATTTAATCTTTGTCAGCTTCTGTGTATGAATCACTTCTTACTTTCTATTTGTCCTAAAAGATAGTGTTTATTTCTAGTTACAGACATCTTAATACTTTATGGTTGCAACCTGTCTTCAGTGCATTTTATGTTGTGGTACATCAGCAATTTATAATAATATATGAAGGTTTTTTGCTTCCACTGCACGAAACAGCCTTATTCTGATTTTATTAAGTATCTATTAGATATGCTTTGAAAACCATTTTTAAAACAAACTAAAAAAAAAAGGCAGCATCCAAAAATATATTAATAGAAAGTGATGTGTTTTGACTGCAGTGTTATTACTAGTATGAGTTCCAAAGCAGTTTGCAAATTTAAGCAGCAATATGCACATTACTGATTAAAGAAAGTTAGCATGGTGAGAAGTATAGCCAGGCTTGTTCTAATTGTACTGTCAGTGAGCAGGAGTTGTAACTGTGCATACATTGTAATTGTATAATTGGAATATCCTATCGTATTTTGTTTGAAAAGAGGCAAAACCCCTTGTGTTTAAAACCAAGAGATCTCATGGGCCCTTGAAAGGAAGCTCAAGGTCTGTATGTTAATAGGATAAGCTGGAGTAGGGTGACCAAGTCCTACACCTAAGAAGGAACAACCCCAGGAAAGCAGCTCTGAAGAAGGAACCTGGATGCCCTGGCAAATAGTAAGCTGGACACGAGCCAGCAGTGGACCTGGCAGCAAGCAAGATTAGACAGCAGTCTGGGCAATATCAGCTAGCAGAAGGAGGGAAGTGATTAACCTCCTCTGCTTAGCATTTTTTAGACCATATTCCAAATATTGTGAACTTAAAAAACCAAAACAAAACCAAAAAAAAACCCCACCAAAACCAGGAAGTGGAAATAATACTGGAGAGAGCTGAGCAAAGGATCACTAAGGTGCTCAGAACCTAGAAGACATGCCCTTTGAGGAAAGGCAGAGCAAGTGGGGCTTGTTCAGCCAGGAGAAGGTACAAATTGAGGAGCACTGAACAGCAGCCTTCTCATACATTAAGAAGGACTTTGAAACCCCCAAACTCCCCTAATCACACAGATTCCTTAACTGACTTTCAGTGGACCTTCCTCCTTAATTCTCCTGCTTTCAGGAGGGTCTAGCAACTGGAAGGACTAAAGGTTCTCTGTGTTGACCAGCTGCAACTCCTAACTGAAACAGATACAAGAAACCTGAATTCAATTAATACTCCTCCCATCCCCCTAGGCAGTTTGTAGGAGGCTAGGAAGGTATGTAAGAAATAAGAAAACATGCTTTAACTCCTCTGCCAGCCTGAAGAGCCTGAACTTTGTGGACACCACATCAGTCAGTATTCTTCCAAGCTTGACTCACTCTGAAATGTCAAAAATTCCTTCTTTAATTGCTACTTGTTGGGCTTTGTACAACATGAAAAAAAATGAGCTAATAAAGAGCGACTGTGTGATGTTCATTCGCTTACCTACTGCTGGTTTTGGCATCCACAAGTGTGGGTACCATGGAAATCACAAAATATGCTGTTCAGCATCTCAAGAGACTTTCTGGATGTCTTAGCAGGACATCAGTTACTCTCTGCAGTTATTTCCTGTGCTACAGTGAAAGTAATTGGTTTTAAATACAAACCTCAGACCTTCAGTGTGGGCACCTTGACACTTGCCATAACATCCTGGAACATAGGCAGGGCAGCTGTCCCCCCTACAACTGAGGTGTAAGTTACCTTTCTGTTGGAGGAAAAATGTATGCATTGAAGGTTACCCTGAAGGATGCTCCTTTAGCTTGTGGACACTTAGCCATGCAGTTGTAATTTATGGGAGAATTAAGTTTTTGGGTCAAAATCAAAAGCTGACTAACTCAACTTTGGGCATTCTTTGGAAAAAGCAAACAAAACCAACTCTGTTCTTCTCGTTGAAAATTTTTAAGCCGGCAGGAACTGTGTGCTTAGTAAAGGACACAATTTGACTTACTGCTTTTTATTTTTTCTTTTAACTTCATAGTGTTCGTCATTGGAAAATGAGGTAGTTATTTGCTCTTTAGATTCTGATCATGACTGCCTTAGAACTATTCATTGTCTTGCTATATATAGAAATTGAATTACCTTGCTTCAGCCCCAATACTCTTTAGCAAACGATGGTCTCAAGAGAGAGTTTCCATCACAGATGACATGCCTGAACGTTATTGTGATGCTGTGGTGACCTGCTCTGCACTTTGAAAAGGAGAGGCAAAATAAGCTGTGATGAGTACCTCTCTTTCCAATGCTAGCAATGATACCCTTGAATCAGAGTTGAAGTTGATTCTGTTGAAAAACCTCCATGCTCTTCATGAGGTTAAGGATGAATGCAGATTTCCTGCAGTTCGTCTTGACACATTTCACCTTTCATATCAGACACTTTTCTTTGCAGACAGAATTTATTGTTGCTAAAGCAGACACTGATAATGAAATAGGTAAGACATTATAGGAATGATCTTTGTTTATATTGAAAAATTAATAATTTAGTTGAGTAGGATCAAAATCCAGAGTTATCTTTATAAATCTTTTGCCTCCCCATGTGTAAAGATAATGTTCATATCCCATTGAAACTCACACAAAAAGTACTTAATTTTTTAATAGATAAATAGGCATTAACCAAAGAAGATGGAGATATATATCTATATGTATATATTCATCTCTTTTGAATAAGAAGTTTTGTGATGGAAAATCCTATTTGTTTTCTTTCTACGTTTCATGCGCTTATGGTCTTGCAAACAATTGACAGTGTTTTATTTAAATAGTGTTTCTGGGCGTTGTTATAAAATATGTCAGCACTGTATTTCTGTGGGAGTATCAAAGGTGAAATTAAGCATTTTATTCTTAAGAAAGCAGGACGTTAATTGTCCACACATTTGAATGACATGTAAGTCGCGTGCATTGGAGTAGAAGGCACAGGCCCCTCAAATGTTTTTATGATTCTCAGCCAAGTCACATCTTTCTTTTTGGTGCAGGTATTTTTGGCCAGAAGCTGGAAGATACTGTCCGGTACGAAAAGCGCTATGGGAACCGCCTGGCTCCTATGCTGGTGGAACAGTGTGTGGATTTTATCCGACAGCGGGGGCTGAGGGAAGAGGGCCTTTTCCGACTGCCTGGGCAGGCTAATCTTGTCAAGGAGCTACAGGATGCATTTGACTGTGGAGAGAAGCCTTCTTTTGACAGGTAAAACCCTCCAGCTGTTCCCCACTCCCTGAAGCCCGGACAGGACGCGCTGTGCTGTGCTGGCTGACCCACAGTGCTGTGAAACATGTGGCAACAACAGATAGAATGACATGGTTTTGTAGGTTTTTCTGTGTGTTTCCTATTAGTGCTCTAAAATGTCTTATTTTTTTTTTTTCCCTGACTTTGATGTCTGATTTCAAAGTGTTTCTGGAGAATTTCCTTTTGTGAAAAGCTGGTTAGGAGAAGTACTGCTAATGGTTTGGCTTAATCAAAAATATCTGGATTACCTTGATCTTAATATCACTTGAAATGCAGTGGTGATGCTGGCATTTATTCAGTTCCACAAAGGAAGAATTTCTCTTATCACCAATCTCAATATGTTCTGTTATCTATAAAACTGACTGGAAGAGAAGTGTACTTTTATGTATTCCTTTACAATTTTGGACCTTTGGTCTAATAATTAAAGTCATTCTGACCATAATTACAAACCTATGTGGTTTTGAGGGTTCAGATCCAATTCATATTCCACCATTTATGCAGTTTTACAAAGTTAATGAGAATTTCCTGGCCAAAGAAAACCCAGTCCTGTTCACACAGCTGTGTATGACTTCAGACTTTTGTAAGACTAGCTTTTTGGGCTTTCTTCTGTGAGCATTGACAGCAGTAGTCCACACATACAGAATGTGCAGTCAGGGAAACAGAACCAGTGGCTTATGAATGCCACGTAAACCCTTTAACTCTGATCGGAATTAATATGATGGTAATGCAATTCCAGTTCAAGGGACTGTTAAATGGTGTTCATCCCCAGCATGTGCCCTAAGTGACATCTGTAACACATGTCCACAGAGGAATCAGGATACTTCACTCCAGTTGAGAGTCCAGTGTGATTTAGGAGGAAGATTGCATTTATTATGTGGGAGCTTTGTCTGATAGCAATCCAAGTAACAGGAAGGAAAGTATATCTTGATCTTTTAGTGGAAAAACATGCCATGATTTGAACCTGATTGCTGGAAGTCCATTCCCTGTTCCTGTGAAGTGGGAAAATTTGTTAAACATGAAGTTTTGTGTATCACAGATGCACAGAAGGCAGACACCTGTAATGCTCTTTCATCTCCAACAAGTTTCCTCAGTCCTGACCCTCACTTTAAAAGAAAGATCAAGAATTTATAATGCTCTGGAAAAGAGACTTGTCTTCCTGTGAGGTTTATTAGTTTCTCATTCTAAGGTGAATTAGGATAATTGACGAGTAAATGGCTTTAAGGAGGCAGAGGACTGTGGGAAGGGACAGTGTTAGCTCATAAATGTTTGTAGCATGCTTACTTACTGTTCAAATGCCATGTAGCTTATTTAAAAATGGTAAAGAAGCATCTGTTGGGCATGTTTCCCTTACTTGGACATTAAGATAAATATTACTGATAATGTCTGTCTCCACCAAAGATACAAGTAGGCAAATGGCAGAAACAAAAGGTTATTCTTTCCTGTGCCTGTAAGCGAAATAATTGTGGAAGAAATGCTTAGGAAAACAAGCCACCCCCAAACTCCAGGAGATGATGTACTGAACACCCCACTGAGAGGTATAACTTGAAGGAAGTGCACAAGTTCTAACTATGCAAAACAAATGAGACCAGGGCTCAACCACATTTATGTTTTTTTCAAGGTTATCTACCAACATCTGTAGCACATGCTAATGAGCCCCATGAACAGGTATGCTAGCTGAGCTCTAGCAGATGAAAAAGAGAAGAGATTTTACATGCTACTGCTGTGAAGAATGCACATAATTTCTACTATAGCAATTAGAAACATCAGCAGGAGCTGCCTATAAATTGCTGGTCCTGCAGTTCTGCTTCTGAAGCTGAGAATTTATAGAACACTGACCTTGTACGTCCACATGTACTCAATTCTTTTGAGTTTGGAGAGGTATGATTTAGGTGTAGCAGTGGTCCAGAAGTCAAGCAGACATAAACTCTGCTCTGATCTCTGCATTGTTTCCATTGGGCATCTGCTTTTTTTTCTCCAACCTTTTGTTCCATTCATAAACTCTTTAGGAGGAGTTCATTTCACGGTGTTTATAGAGTGCCTGTGTGATATGGTAATATTTTGGGGTAACTTCTCATTGTGCTGAACAGGAGCACGATCTCCACGTTTGATGCAACCTGTTTGGCAACTTGGAAAGTGGCCACAATATGAAAAGTGCTGTGGAGAAAAAAATATATCTACTTTAGGCATCCATGCCTACTTTCTCTCGTGAATCTCCAGATTCACTGTATAATCTGTAATTAATCTGTAATTATATGTTACTATTGGCCAGAAGTCTCACAGGGCGAAATCTACCTAGGTTCTGTTTATCAAATTTACATTTAGCCCATTCTCATACATCAGTAGTAATAAAGATTTTTGCAGTCAGAGCAGAGCTGACATTTTTGTTCATGGGGCACAAAACACAATGGAATAACAGGTCACACTTCCGTAGTGGTGCTGGGTCACTGACTCTGACTGGGAGAAAGACTAGCTGCTGTCATCAGGGTTGGAACTAATACAAAGAGCTGATGTTTGAGGAGTTTGCCATTTTTCATACTGACACTTTTACCGTGTGGGTAAGTCAAACAAAGACTTTAGAACAAGTGAAGATGCTTTGAAATGTGTGTGTAGGCTCGTGTACATATTTGTGTGATAAATTGCTATTAAATAATCTTTCTCTTTATGCTCTCTTAGCCAATTCAGTAGAATATATAACATGTAGAATTAAAAGCAAAACCAAAGGTAAGATCATATAGACATGGTCACTACTCCTTTAAAATGTCATCTCTGTTTTAAGATGATTGCACACCTTTAAACACCTTATGCGTGTTGGGAAATGGAGTTCATAGGCACAGATCTGCTCTTTGACCCTGGGTTGAGCTACTGTCCATGGTTATGTGGAGACCCTGCCCTTCTCCCCTTTTGCCTTCCCATCTGCACCCCTTGGGCAAAGAAGACCACAGAACAAGGGCAAACAGGACAAACATAGCAAATTTGAAATAAAAAGTAAAATAGCTATGCTCGAAAGAAAAAGCAGCCATGCTTCGAAACATAAAACATATCTGACAAATGGTTGATCTCACATGAGTTAGCAGCTGGATGTTCCAATACTGAAGTCGGTTATAAAAATGCAGAGTGAGGCCAGGACAAGTCGGAGAGTGGCAGAAAACTGTGTATTAATTTGATCTGGATCTTACAGTTGGAATAAGATATTGCTGAAGAATTGTGTATGAGAATGGGAACAGTATTTAAAATTTCTCTAACTCACAGACAGAGAAAACCCAGTGTCTGATCTGAAACATCCAGTACCCCAGGCCCCCTCATATGAAAACTGGAACTCATAATTTCTCACAGTTTTGGAAGGGAGGTGCAGCTGCTACAACTGAAAACTGTTGTGGCCTTTTGTGTGAAGAAACAAAAATGCTCAAAATTTTATGTCAGCTTAAACCCCAAAATCAATAAATACTTTACTCCCTCTGAATGTATCTGCACATATTGTGAAATATGCCAGAAGGAACCAGCCATGCAATTAGGCAAGCACTCATTTGAAATATCCTCGGTATTTCCAGTACAGCTCCACCTTGGTGCAAAATTGCTCCCTCCAGGGAATCCATTTTGCTGCTTGTCCTTGGGGTATTTGCTTTTCTCTTCTTGTGTGGTTTATATTTTAAAGTCCCTCATCTCCTTTACGGCATTTGTAACGATACAAAGTGGATTATGACCATTTGTTCTATAAAATTAGCATAGAGAATATGGCACTGCATAAGGAAAATAACATAAGGATTTGTTCTACAATTTCTACCTAGAAAGGGTACAAAATTGGATTTCTCTTTTTGTATTACCTCTTTCCATCTGCTGTTCATCACAATTACTATGAGATGACATGCAAGCTAAGATTACTCAGGGAGAAAAAAAATATTTGAAATGTCTCTGAAACAAATATTAATAAAAAATTATTGTGATTGATTGATGTATGTGACTTGGATAACTGTCACTGATGTATATAGTTCAGTAGTTCAGAAGAATTAAAAAATTACATAGCTCACCTGCCAGCATTTGTGTGTATGCACAAGAGAGAAGAAAAGCACATAAATGCATATTTAGCAAAAAGAATGCTACTATATTCTGTTATGGGTATGAATACAGTACATTATAGGGCAAAATGTTATTTACTGTTCTAGTCACCATTGCAATCAGCTGAGAAAAGGGTACATAAGTGGCAGTATGTGATAGCTGGCAAATGCTGTTATTTACTGGAGCCAAGTAATCCAGAATGTACAACTGGTATGTTCCTGTGCATTTAATGATGGGGATTGTTGAAGCAAAATGAGACAATGACGAGGATGGTAATAATGTAATATTGTCAAGGTGAGAAGGAGCACTTGCACGATTCTTATTTTCCTCCAGAAGCAAAGAATGTTTTAAGATTTTGGTGAACGCAAGAAATGGGACGTGTCTCAGTGGGGCTGCAGTCTGCACTGGCACTGTGTAGACTGCAACTAGAAATCACTGGTAATAAAAATGTTTCTTTGTTTTCCAGATACAAGCCTGTACATAAGAATTTGTTTATAAGAATAGTTTCCCACAAGGAAGGGGCTTCATTTGCTTCCTGCTGGCAAAGTGCAGTAGTCCCTAAAACCCCACATTTTTATGTGAAATGAAGTCTTTATTAGAAAGCTGGTTCCTGCCAAACACAAATGGCCTTAGGCCTGTGAAAATTCCTGTTTGTTTCTGCCTGTTCAAGGCTTTCTTCCCTGGTCCTCACAATCTGCTCATCAGCTATGCCTCTGGAGCCACTTCATGTCCTTTCCAATTCCAGCCCTTTTTCTAACCAGCTAACAGAAATAACCACTGCATATGGCATAACTTAAAGACCTGGTCTGGCAATTACATTAGGAGGCACATTTCTAGTGTGATGGAAGGGTCATTAAATCAGCCTAATTGGTGTCCTGTTGTGTTTTTAGTTGGTTTTGGTGTCCTCA